GAGAATGACGGTGGAGTCACGCGGGGCACGAGGACAGATCAACGTAGAGGTCATGGAAATGGAAGTGGTTGGTAACGGATTGGATTTTGTCCTGGCATGTGGATAATGAGATGACACAGAATCTGAAACGGCGGACGGTTGGCGTGTTGTCGTAACTCAAAAATTCCACTAACAAACATCCGTTATGTTACTAGGATTGCATTTCAGTGTGACACGGTACACAGCACCATACACTGCGAACCCAAAATTATGGTTCTATGTTTGTTGATATATATATATTTTTTTTACTAGGTAAATGGTTAGGAAGTTAGTAAAGTTAATTTGTTAGCAGTTAAAATTTTTTTAAAAAAGTAAATGTTTCAACTCTCATTTAAGGCATGCGATCATTAAGTCGCAAGTTGGTGGAGTTCATGGTGGTGGCAGAGTTTGAAACCATAACCTTCCTCTCACCCAAACCTTAAAACTTGAAAGCCAACCAATTGAACCACGTGTCGGTTCGCAATTTGGAAGCTTTAATTTTCACGACAGGAAGAGATAAATAAACGGGACTTTTTTGAGAAAATGGCGGGAAAAGAGAAGTGGGTACGAACTTTACCTGGCTTGGGGCTATCAAGAGATGGGACCCCGCAAACAATTAAACATGTGGCTGTGGTCGGGAGGGACTTCCACTTCCAACCTTTTTGCGACACGTCAAGTCATGACGCGTCCCATCCAAATGGCAAAGGCCATATACTGATATACTCAATTGCAGTGTGTAATTATTTTCTTGTCAGAGCAGTGCTACGGACACTCGCTCCTTAGCACTTCTACCGACTACCCGACACTTTCCTATTTAAAAGATGTCACGTGGTGAGAAGGTTGAAAAGTATAAGCGTTAAGTGCGTGTTTGATGGGGTTGAAATTTTTAATAAAATTTTATTTAAAAAATGGTTATAAAAATATTATTTTTATAAATAAAAATAATAATTAAATAAAAATAATAAGTTAATTTTATTAAAATTTTAAAAAAAATTGAATAAAAACGTATGCTTATCAGATTTGTAATAGAATAGGAAAAATATATATATATTTTTAAACATTTTGACACGGGACGGATTCGAAACCCACCCAGAGGAAGGGGGAATGCACCTAGCAAACTGGTTAATGCCAGTAGACCTCTAGACTCAGGTGCGAATAGGAAAAATATTAATTTGTGAAAAATTATAATATTTAATACAATTTATGTTTTTGAAGTAAAAAAATTCATTTCATAAGTGACATCAAACAAGTCTTAAGATTAATAACTTAAAAAATCTGATTTTTTATTTTTTAAGAAGTAATTAAAATATTTTATAT